AAGAGAGAGAGAAAAGAAATGAGATGATTCTGAATGCATGCATGCAGTGTATGACTTTACCATGGGCAGCATGCCTGACTTGACTCCCCAGAGCAGCTTTCTGCACTGGGGACTTCCTTAATGGAAACTGGTCATATAATTATATTTATTATCAATTTGACCTAATTGTGAGATTTCCCTTCCCGTTCTTGTAGAACTCCATCTTCTTTAAAGATACTTATGTAACCTTATAATAATGGTACTTCAAATAATGGCTTCCGTTTATATTCATAGACATTTCTGAGGGATTTAAGATAAGAGATTTGCTAATATTTAAGTAAAGCTGAGGAATTTGACTCAGCAAGCATGTATTAAACTTTATTATGGTTAAGCACTGTACCAGATGCCCTGAGTGAGGCCCCTACCCTCAGAACTTGCATGGTGATGGAGAGATAGGATCTGTACTCAACTGTGCTACAGGACTGTGTGTATCTAGTGTTATCAAAATAGAAGCACAGAGGAAGTACTGCTGAATTTCATCTAGGAACTTCAAGGAAGGCTTCATGGAGGAAGCTTCTTTTTTGCTGGACTTTGACATGTGGGTGGGCAGAGGTTAAATGTATATGTGTGGTAGAGATGGGCATTCGTGACCACAGAAGGAAAATTTGCTCAGTGCTTGTTATCTGCCCATCACTCTGTTGGAATTGGGAATGTAGAGATGCCTGGGGTACTTAGGTTGGCTGGACTATGGGGGAAGGGAGAGAAAGGAAAAAGTGGCAGGAAGTTATGAAGGAGAGTAAACCTGGCTGCCAGGCTAGGGTCAGTTGGCAGTGGCCTCCGTGCTATGGAGCTTGGGTTTAATTCAGGGGCAGTGGAGCCCCTGAAAGGTTTTTGAACAGCACCATGATCAAACTGTCTGTATTGAGGAGCTTGCCGTCTCTTACAGTTATAGTGTCTTATTTTTCTTCATTCAATCCTCATAGTGGCGAGCCAGAACTTCTTATCCCATTTTGCAGATGAGAAAGCCAAGGCTTAGCAAAGTTAAGTATCTTGTTCACGGCGACATTTACACTAATAACTCAAGGAGCTGCAGGTCGAGCCCCAGTCTCCAAACTTGACTCCAAAGCCTGAAGCTGCAATGAGAAAGATAGGCTAGAGAAAGAGTAAGAAGCAAAAAAGCTCATTGGGAGCCTGTGGCAATTGTCTGGGTGAGGAGTAAGGACAGGGGAAGGATGGATGAAAGTGGGAAAATGGGTGAAGCTGGGGCAGCATCGATAGCCCCAGAGTGACTGGGATAGGTGGAGCAAGAGGGAGAGGAAGGAGTGCTGTGTAGGGTGGAGGAGGTGATGGAGGGCAGTGGACGGGATGGTAGCCTCACACTCCCTAGTGACTCTTGTCATTGTGGTAAGGATGTGGCTGATCAGATCATCCTGAGTCAGAAGAGTTTGGGAAGTGGACGAGTGACTCAGATGAAAGTGTGATGAGCCTCTGAGTTCTGATTCCGGACCTTCCCTGAGTTACCGTCCGTCACCTTTGACCACCCCAGCCGCCGTTTCTCCATTATTACTCTGAGGCAGTGGAATGGCTTGTTGGTCAGGGTATTCCGGGGAAATTCCCGGCTATTTAGATCAGCTCATCAGTACCAACCCAGCTATTGTGAAATAGGCCTCTTTTGACTGCCCGAAGTGACACCTCCACTCTGAATAGAATGGTAAAAGTCCACCACATGCTTCCTCTCTCCCACCACTCAGCCCCTGCCTGGAGAAGCCACATCCCAGATTGGATTTCCTGCCTCTGTGTCCTTAATGAGCACTTTAGTAAGTGGTGTCGCCATTCTTCTGAACCACAAGCCCATTTAAACCAAAGGCATTAGGAAAATCAAGTATGAGCTCTCAGCTTAGGTACACCATCATGATTTCATTCTCCCAAAGAACTTTGTCTTTAAAGAGCTCAATCATCTTCCCAAATCCATTCACAACCTGCAGGCAAGCAGGCGTCACGAGAGCCTCATGACAAGCAGCAGCCTTTGTTTCCTTTTAAAAGAAGACAGGTCCTGCTTTGCTGACCCCTGGGAGGACCACCACAGTATGGCAAGGGGTGAGAAGCGGTGTGAAAGAGAGAAGGTGCTGAAGCGGGCTGTGGCCAGAATCCAAGTCTGAAGATGACATGGTCCCCAGTGCCCCCTAGTGGTGGGAAGTTGTCTGGTGCTCTTTGTTCTGGGGAAAAGGAAGATGGCCTGTTTTAAGCATCTTGTGGCCCAATTTCCTTCTCATCAGGGAAGATTTACTCCTGAGCTAAAGAGATATCCTGGCATCTGCTCTAGGGTCTGTGATTCCCTGAGGGCAGCACTATTTGGGAGGATTCACACTTGTGCTCCCTGTGTCTGGAAAAAAGGCTCAGAAACCAAGGGGTAAAGAGAATGGGGGCTAGAAGTGATCCTTGCTTTCAGAGGTGCTCTAGACTTGCCCTGTCCTAAATAGTAGCCACCAGCCACATGTGGCTATAGAGCATTCTGGAATGTAGCTAGTCTGAATTGAGATGAGTCATAAATGCAAAATACATGTGGATTTCAAAGTTTTAATATGAAAAAAAAATTTGTTTTATTAATTTATTTTACTTTTTTAATTTTTTTGAGACAGAGTCTCGCTCTGTCACCCAGGCTGGAGTGCAATGGCATGATCTCAGTTGACTGCAAGCTCCACCTCCCGGGTTCATGCCATTATCCTGCCTCAGCCTCCTGAGGAACTGGGACTACAGGCGCCCGCCACCACACCCGGCTAATTTTTTGTATTTTTAGTATAGACGGGGTCTCACCATGTTAGCCAGGATGGTCTCGATCTCCTGACCTCGTGATCGACCTGCCTCAACCTCCCAAAGTGCTGGGATTACAGGTGTGAGCCACCGTGCCCAGCCGAAAAAAATATTTTTACATGGATTACTTGTTGAAATGATAATATTTTGCTTAAATAAATATATTAAAATTAATTTCACTTGTTTCTTTTTCCTGTGCACTGTGGCTGCTAGAAAATTTAACATTACATTTCTACTGGATAGCATTGCTCTTCACGGATGGGCTTTGTGCCCAGAACAGGGGCCCACATGACTAAGACAGGTTTCAGGCCTGCCTTGGGCCCACTTCCAGAGCTATGGCTAACCTTTTGGAGAGGTAGAGTGGGCTTGGCCTTTGTAATTCAGCCCTCCCCTCCCAAAAAGCCCTTTGAAATCCTACCATTCAGAAGTCATCACTTTGCATAATCACAACTTTTCAAAATGCAAGTACCCCAGGATTAAAAACCTAACATCAACCAGGCGTGGTGGCTCACACCTGGAATCCCAGTACTTTGGGAGCCAAGGTGGGAGGATTGCTTGAGGCCAGGAGTTTGAGACCAGCCTGGGCAATGCAGCAAGACCCTCACTCTACAAAAATTTTAAAAATGAACCAGGCATGGTGGCACACACCTGTAGTCCCAGCTATTCTGGAGGCTGAGGGGGGAAGATGGCTTGAGCCTGGGAGTTTGAGGTTATAGTGGGCTATGATCACACCACTGTATTCCAACCTGGGTGATAGAGTGAGACCCTGTTTCTAAAACAAAATGAAACAGAAAGCCAAACACCTAGTCTAAATATTCTGGGATCCCAGGGTGCCTACAAGATAGAGGAGGGGGCCCCAGAGAGAGCTGTGGGAGGTAGAAAAATAGGAGTTGGAGGATACTGAGCCCCCTGGCTGCCTTGCTCTTCCATTTTGTGCTCAGCTCCCTGGCTTTGAAGCCACCTGTCTCTTAACAGGTTGACCTGTACCCTACCTGTTTCTTTGTCCTTGGGAAATGGGCCATTTGGTGCCTGCTGGGAGTTTTATTTATTTATTTATTTTTGAGCCAGATTCTTGCTCTGTCACCCAGACTGGAGTGCAGTGATGCCATCTCAGCTCACTGCAACCTCTGTCTTCCAGGTTCAAGTGATTCTTGTGCCGCAGCCTCCCAAGTAGTTAAGATTACAGACACGTACCACCACGCCCAGCTCATTTTTGTATTTTTAGTGGAGATGGGGTTTTTGCCTTTTTGCAGGCTGGTCTCAAGCTTCTGGCCTCAAGTGATCCACCCACCTCAGCCTCCCAAAGTGTTGTGATTATAGTCGTGAGCCACCTCACCTGGCCTGGAGTTTTAGAAGAGTCATATCAGAAATTTTATTTTCGGCTGGGCGCGGTGGCTCACGCCTGTAATCCTAGCACTTTGAGAGGCTGAGGCGGGCGGATCATGAGGTCGCGAGATCGAGACCATCCTGGCCAACATAGTGAAACCCCGTCTCTACTAAGAATACAAAAAATTAGCTGAGCGTGGTGGCACGTGCCTCTAGTCCCTGCTACTCAGGAGGCTGAGGCAGGGGAATCACTTGAACCTGAGAGGCGGAGGTTGCAGTGAGCCAAGATCGTGCCTTTGCACTCCAGCCTGGCAACAGAGTGAGACTCTGTCTCAAAAAAAAAAAAAAAAAAGAAATTTTATTTCCTCCATTCCTCTGTCATACCCATTCTGAGTCATTTACCTGACCTGTGAAAGCTAAATTTCTTTTGAAATACAGAGGGGCACCTCCTATACTTTGTGTAAAATGGCCCTGGATGGCTGAACATAGCATTACAATGTGCAGTATATGGAGCAGAATTTGTTCTGCAGCCTGGCATGCTTTAGACAGTTTTTAAGGAAAGAACAAACTGTGAGCTGTATGTGTTATCTGTGGACAGTGTACTGTGTGGGCCCCCAAGGGACAGCAGCAATTCTTTAGGGGTCTCAGTATATGAGTCTTGGGCAGGCCCTTACAGACTTTGGCTTTGTGTTTACTAATGTAAATTCTTCCCCAGTGTTTGTGAGATGGCTTCTGTGTGCTTAGCATTGAATGAGGATTCAGTGGAGACTATCCAAGTTGGGATTTAGGGATCAGAATGCATTTGCCTCTCACATAGCATTGCATTCTTAGACTTGCAATGCCTGTGATGTTTTTGTTTTGTTTTGTTTTGTTTTCTCTTCTAGGCACTTATCAACTGGAAAGAGGCTAAACTGACTTGGAGTTTTTTCAAACAGTCTTTCTTGAAACAGATTTTGACAGAAGGTAAGTTGACGGTCACTCTGAATGGTCGGGAGACCATAGTAGAAGGGGATTTCATAGGACTGCCAATTACCTGGGTCCAGATCACCTGTTTAGAGCCTCTGGGGCTGAAGAACTTCAGAAATGGGAGGAGAGGTTTTAATACAGAGAACGAAACCAACGTCTATTTAGTTTTGTGCTTTACTTAGGTGGTCTAATTTAAATCTCTCCACAGCCTTGTAAGAAAGATATTATTCCCCTTCATTATGGATGAGGAAACTGAGAGTCAGTGAGGTTGCAGAACTTCTTTAGGGTTTTGTAGTAACAGGGAACAGCTTAATTGGGATCCAGGTCTAACTCCAAAACCCCATGTTATATGATTTTTATGAGTTTATTATAGAAGTATTATATCAGTTACATAAAACTATTTTTATCTTTTTTTTTTTTTTTTTGAGATGGAGACTTGCTCCATCGCCCAGGCTCTGGAGTGCAGTGGCTCCATCTCAGCTCACTGCACGCTCCGCCTCCTGAGTTCATGCGGTTCTTCTGCCTCAGCCTCCCGAGTAGCTGGGACTACAGGCGCCACCACCACACCTGGCTAATTTTTTTGTATTTTTAGTAGAGATGGGGTTTCACCGTGTTAGCCAGGATGGTCTCGATCTCCTGACCTCGTGATCCGCCCACCTCGGCCTCCCAAAGTGCTGGGATTACGGGTGTGAGCTACTGCACTTGACTGGGATTTATTTTCTTAAACAATAAAATGCGCTTGTATGAGAGTTTGGTCAGACTTTGGTCTTTTCAGTTTACCTATGACAGAGCTCAATGTGGAGGGCCAGCAAGGGGCTGGAAGCACATTTGGTTTTTGTATGTATATGTGTTGGTTTATTTGTACCCAGCTTTAATTAGAAAAATGAGATTTTAAGGCAACTATTAAGTTGCTGAAGGTGGTAGTTTCTCTCTTCATATATATTTCATATCCATATACCTATTACTGAATGTATTTTTTAATCTTTTCAAAAATTATCTTTTAATTATAAAATATAGTCCCATTAGAAAAAAATAAGAACATAGAAAAAATAATACTAGCATTCTAATACAACTGTTATTATCTTGGTATTTTATTTTCCCCCCATCTGTATTTTTTGTTCATTATGTTTCCAAAGAAAAGCAGCTCCCCCTATGCCTCACTTTCCCCGTCTGTGAACAAGGGGATAGAACCAGGCAGTGTCTGAGGGCTCTCTGATCTTTGAGAGTGCACACATGCTTCTAGCCTAACCTTATAACTTTGCTATTACAAAAATGAAACTGTTCCGAGGCCTTCTTGGGGAAGGGAGGGTCAGAAGCCTCGGAAGAGCTGAGTGAAGGGCCTGAGCACTTAGCTCCTGGAGAGCAGGGAGTGTGCCGTTCACCACTGCCACTGCCTCCCTGTGGCCTGGCACAGGAGGGCTGTGCAGCATGTATTTGTGAATGGAGTAAGAAAAGGCAACAGGCCGGGCGCGGTGGCTCACGCCTGTAATCCCAGCACTTTGGGAGGCCGAGGTGGGCGGATCACAAGGTCAGGAGATCGAGACCATGGTGAAACCCCGTCTCTACTAAAAATAGAAAAAATTAGCCGGGCGCAGGGGCGGGCGCCTGTAGTCCCAGCTACTCGGGAGGCTGAGGCAGGAGAATGGCGTGAACCCGGGAGGCGGAGCTTGCAGTGAGCCGAGATTGCGCCACTGCACTCCAGCCTGGGCGACAGAGCGAGATTCCGTCTCAAAAAAAAAAAAAAAAAGAAAAGAAAAGGCAACAAGGTAACTATTGTGAAATGGTGTGTGATGATAGTTCATGTTGTTGTAAGAACAGGAAAATCGGTGGAGGGAGTTTTGGAAAGGACAGTTGCTCATATGCACTTTTTTCCTTCCAAGGTTTTAAGAGCAGTTTTAATGAGTTTGAGGAATGGATCCAGTCCAAGTGATGGCCCTAAATTGGTTTTCTGGATTACAGACAACACATGTCTCTAGACATGTCTTTGCAGCAGCTGGTTTAAGTTTACTGCAAACAAAAGCCTCCAGAGCTCAACCTGAATGCAGTGCCAGGAGCCTGCTCCATGGGTGGATCCCCCTAGCCTGACTCCCTGACTGGCACAGTGCCATTAGGAACTTCTCAGGGCCTCCATCTCTGTGGCTGTGAAATAAGGAAGTTGCCTGACTGAGATCCTCAGATTCGTTTTTTTTTTTTTTTTTTTTTTTTTGAGACAGAGTCTCGCTCTGTCGCCCAGGCTGGCGTGCAGCAGCGCACGGTCTCTGCTCACTGCAAGCTGCGCCTCCCGGGTTCACGCCATTCTCCTGCCTCAGCCTCCCAAGTAGCTGGAACTACAGGCGCCCGCCACTATGGCCAGCTAATTTTTTGTGTTATTTTTAGTAGAGATGGGGTTTCACTGTGTTAGCCAGGATGGTCTCGATCTCCTGACCTCGTGATCCACCTGCCTCGGCCTCCCAAAGTGCTGGGATTATAGACGTGAGCCACTGCCCCCAGCCCGTTATATTTTTAAAACTATAGCTCTAAAAAAGTTGAAATCCCCGGTTTTTTTTGGTTGTTGTTTTTTGTTTTTTTGTAGTTAGGGTCTCACTCTGTCACCCAGGCTGGAATGCAGTGGTGCAGACACAGCTCGCTGCAGTCTTGACCTCTCAGGCTCAAGTGATCCTCCCACCTCAGCCTCCCAAGTAGCTGGGACTACAGGGAAGGCACCTACCAATACGCCTAGCTAATATTTTAAATTTTGTAGGGACAGGGTCTTGTGATGTTGCCCAGACTGGTCTTGAACTCCTGGACTCAAGCGATCCTCCTGCCTCGGCCTCCCAAAGTGCTGGACTTACAGGCATGAGCCACTGAGCTGGGCCTGAAATCACTTTTTGTAGTAGCAAAAATGTATGTGCTGTTACTTCTGCCCCCACATTTCCTGAACAGTATGCCAGGTGCTGAGAATACTGAGATGAATGAGTAACAGGCCATGGCCTCAAGCATTTCATTCTCTCACCAAAGACATAGACGTTTGTGTGGTTAACTGTTACTGGGCTGTGAGGGGTGTAGTACTTGGAAACTCATTTCCTAGAGCTTTGCTAGGAAACCAGGGTCATAGAGATGACTGAGAGGGGCTCATGCCCTCAGGGAGTTTATAGAATGTAGGAAGGAGAGCCTATTCTGCCAAAAGACAGGGAGGGCCCTGCAGAAAAGACACTCTAGGTGATGAGAATGACAAGAGCCAAGGCAGGCCCAGCCTGACTCAAAGCAGCTGGAGGGCTAAAACCTGGGAGGTAGGGTGCAGCAGAAGATGACAGGGTGATGAGGGTGAGGTTGACGAAGGGAAGCCAAAATGATAGCTTGGGGTCAGTGTATAAAAGCCCGCAAATGCAGAATTAAGGAGCCTGGACTTTTTGTAAACATTAAAGAGCCATTTTGGCCAGGCGCGGTGGCTCACGCCTGTAATCCCAGCACTGTGGGAGGCAGAGGAGGGCAGATCACCTGAGGTCAGGAGTTCGAGACCAGCCTGGCTAGCACAGTGAAACCCCATCTCTACTAAAAATACAAAAATTACCTGGGCGTGGTGGTGGGTACCTGTAATCTCAGCTACCCAGGAGGCACAGGCTGCAGTGAGCCCAGATAGCGCCACTGCACTCCAGCCTGGGCAACAAGAGTGAAACTCTGTCTCAAAAAAAAAGAGAGAGCCATTTAAAGATATGAAAGCAGGCCGGGTGCATTGGCTCACGCCTGTAATCCCAGCACTTTGGGAGGCTGAGGTGGGAGGTCAGGAGTGCAAAACCAGTCTGGCTAGCGTGGCAAAACCCCGTTCCCACTAAAAACTGAAAAAATTAGCCGGGCGTGGTGGCGGGCGCCTGTAATCCCAGCTACTCAAGAGGCTGAGGCAGAAGAATCGCTTGAACCCAGGAAGCAGAAGTTGCAGTGAATGAGATCATGCCACTGCACTCCAGTCTGGGTGACAAAGCAAGACTCCGTCTAAAAAAAAAAAAAAAAAAAAAAAAAAAATATGAAAGCAGAGACTGATTTAAGAGCTGTGTTTGAGGCTGGGCGCAGTGGCTCACACCTGTAATCCCAGCACTTTGGGAGGCCAAGGCGGGTGAATCACTTGAGGTCAGGAGTTTGAAACTAGCCTGGCCAACATGGTGAAACCCGTCTACTAAAAATACAAAAAAAAAAAAAGAAAAAAAATTGCTGGGTGTGGTGGTGGGCATCTGTAATCCCAGCTACTCGGGAGGCTGAGGCAAAAGAATCTCTTATGTCCGGGAGGTAGAGCTTTCAGTGAGCTGAGATGGCACCACTGCATTCCAGCCTGGGCAGCAGAACAAGACTCAGTCTCAAAAAAAATAAAAGCAACAACGACAAAACAAAACTATTTGCACAAGCTGGAACTGTTAGCAGTGAGGGTAGATCCAAGCAGCACAGAGACACAGGCCTATGAGGACCCGCAGTGATCCCTACCACAAACACAGTGGCAGGGGCTTGGAGAGAGAGGCAGGGTGGGAGAAAGCCTTGAGAGAAGATCCTCACTGCTTCCAGCCTCTTGATGCTTTCCTTTTTGAGCAAGTTACTAGGAGGTGAGAATTTGCCCTTCAGGGCGCGGGCACTGTTTAGTGCTCTTTTCCCATAGTGGTCAACACTTTTTCCTCATAGATGAGAAGCTTCACGAAAGCCAGGGGGATGGGAGCCCTGGCTGGTGTCTTCACCTTGAAGGCATTAGACTGTCTTACATTTGAATCATGAACTCAGGCCTGATTTTTGTAGTAGCAAAAATGTATGTGCTGTTGCTTCTGCCCCCTCAGGCCTGAGTTCCTGATTCAAATCTAAGACAGTCTAATGCCTTGCCAGCCCCAGGGAGCTGTCTCCACCCCTGAGGAACCCTTGAATAAGCTTGTGCATATAATCATGGATGCTTCACAGATAATTTACGCGCAGATTATCTGACCTCCCCTTAAAACTTGGGACCATTGCCTGCGCGTGGTAGCTCACGCCTGTAATCCCAGCACTTTGGGAGGTGGAGACGGCGGATCATGAGGTCAGGAGATCGAGACCACCCCGTCTCTACTAAAAATACAAAAATATTAGCCGGGCGTGGTGGCGGGCGCCTGTAGTCCCAGCTACTCGGGAGGTTGAGGCAGGAGAATGGCGTGAACCTGGGAGATGGAGCTTGCAGTGAGCCGAGATTGCGCCACTGCACTCCGCCTGGGCAACAGAGCAAGACTCCGTCTCAAAAAAAAAAAAAAACTTGGGACCATCATTTTCATTATTAACATTTAATAATCTCCACATACTTTTTTAAAAACTTATTTTTAGACTTTTTTATTATTTTTTTTTATTTTTAATTTTACTGGCTTGGAGATTCGCTGTCAATGAAGTCCTCGGCACTTTCCAAATTGTTACTTTGAGATTATTTGAAATCAACATTAGGACAAGGATATGTCTTTAACTGATTATCTAATATTTCTCCTTTATTTGTCAGCTGGAAAAGTTGATAGCTAGTAAGAGAAAGGAAACAATAAAGTAATGTGCATTTGACATTGCTAATTATTTTGCTTTTTTGTTTATAGGCGAGCGATACGTGATGACATTTTTGAACGTATTGAATTTTGGTGATCAGGGTAAGATGAAATTCTGTAGTGTTTTAATTAAAGGTTAATACTATTAATAGATACTTCCTAACATTTTTCTCCGATATATTTAATGAAAGATGAACCTGAAGATTAAAAAAAATCCTGAAGATTGTAAATTGTAGGTCTTCGTACTGACTGTGCCCTCCAATGTGACTTTGGTGGCAGGTGTTCTGGTGAGACCCTGGCCCTCTAGTTCGCCTCCTAAGAGCTCTGGTGTTCATTTTGGGGGGTGGGAGGTGCCAAGAGAGGAGAAAAGGGAGCTCACCATCACAGCCACAAGAATCTGCCCCATATTTGTGTAGCTACATAGTCTTTTAGTATTTTCATTTTTATATTTTAATGTAATACCAAAGTAATGGAAATCAAATAGAAAAACATCAACTTTGCATTAATGACCTGTATAAGAAAGTACTGTTGATGGAAGCATTCTGTATCTTGACTGTATCAATGTTGGTATCCTGGTTGTAATATTGTACTACAGTTTTACAAAATGTTACCACTGGGTAAAGGGCATATGGGATCCCTCTATTACTTCCTTTTTTTTTTTTTTTTTTTTTTTTTTTTGAGACAGGGTCTCACTCTCTTGCCCTCTTGCCCAGGCTGGAGTGCAGTGGTACCATCACAGCTCACTGCAGCCTCAACTTCCTGGGCTTGGGCTTGGGTGATTACCCCCACCTCAGCCTCCCAAATAACTGGGACTACAAATGCACACCACCATGCCTGGCTAATTTTTTCCGTTTTTGTAGAGACAGGGTTTCTTCATGTTTCCAAGGCTCATCTCAAACTCCTGGGCTCAAGCAGTCCACCCACTCTGGCCTCCCAAAGTGCTGGGAATACAGTCATGAGCCACCATGCCTGGCCACTGTAACTCTGTGTGAATCTATAATTATCTGAAGATAAACTTTAATGAAATATTAAATAACAATTTTAATAGTGCTATGAAAATTAAAGTAGAAAAACCAACATGATTGTTGTTTCTTCTTTTTTGTTTTGTAGGTGTGTATGATATAGTGAATAATCTTGGCTCCCTTGTGGCCAGATTAATTTTCCAGCCCATAGAGGAAAGTTTTTATATATTTTTTGCTAAGGTGCTGGAGAGGGAAAAGGATGCCACACTTCAGAAGCAGGTAGTGTTGGTTCTTATATCATCTCTCAAGTGAATTCTCCCTTTAATTGCAAGACAAACAGATAGGAATGTGAAGCAGTCTGTTTCTCTTCTGTTTGATCAGGAATTTTCTTACAGATTTCATTCTTCTATTACATTCTGTATGATAGCGGGACCCAGGGCTTACCTCTTCTTTCGTGGCCTTCTCCCTTTGCTCTTGGCTGTCCCTTCCTTCTCAGCCCTTTGTTATATTCTTTGTGACCTTTCTCTTTTTTTTTTTTTGAGATAGAGTCTTGCTCTGATGCCCAGCCTGGAGTGCAGTGGCATGACCTTGGCTCACTGCAACCTCCACCTCCCAGGTTCAAACGATTCTCCTGCCTCAGCCTCCTGATGAGTAGCTGGGACTACAGGCATGCACCACCACACCCAGCTAATTGTTGTGTTTTTAGTAGAGATGGGGTTTTGCCATGTTGGCCAGGCTGGTCTTGAACCCCCGACCTAAGGCAATCTGCCCACTTCAGCCTCCCAGAGTGCTAGGATTACAGGCATGAGCCACCGTACCCGGCCATGTGACCTTACTCTTGATCCAGCCCTCTCAGGACTCTCTAAAGCTGTCCCCATTGCCCTGCAGATGCCCAGCCATGGGCTAGTCTTAGGCATAAGAATGCCTCCCCTATCCTCAGAGTCTCAAGAGCCAAAGGATGCAGAAGTTGGAGCCAGGCTAATCGAGGAAGGAGAGGATGTGGTTGTTGGCTTTCACTCACCACACCAATTGTTTAAGCTTCTTACAACTGGGACGTGCCCAGAGCCACACTCTGACTATAAGATTCTATATACTCAGGTTGGTAAATACAGAAGAAGAGATTTTAATCTAGGCGTATCTGGTTGTAGGAGCTTCACTTTTTCCAAAACCACTGAAAATGTCTGAGTTTTAGAATAGCAAGCTAGTTGAGCCTCTTGCATGTCTTAGAAGATATTTAGTAAAATACAGTTTATGCACAATATCTCAAAATGAGCTAATCTGGTACTCAGTCTGATTTAGGAATATTTTCCTAAGAGTACAATCACAGTAACATCATAATTTTGGAATGTTTAGCAGGAGAGGCACAGAGCTGGCTAGTGTACATGAAAAGTTGCTGCACATTTAAGAATAAATATTAGGGCTGGGCGTGGTGGCTCACGCCTGTAATCCCAGCACTTTGGGAGGCCGAGGCGGGCGGATCACGAGGTCAGGAGATCGAGACCATCCTGGCTAACACAGTGAAACCCCGTCTCTACTAAAAATACAAAAAATTAGCCGGGCGTGGTGGTGGGCGCCTGTGGTCCCAGCTACTCGGGAGGCTGAGGCAGGAGAATGGCGTGAACCCGGGAGGCAGAGCTTGCAGTGAGCTGAGATTGTGCCACTGCACTCCAGCCTGGGTGAGAGCGAGACTCCGTCTCAAAAAAAAAAAAAAAAAGAATATTAGTGGCCTGGTGCAGTGGCTCATGCCTGTAAGCCTCATGCTTTGGGAGGCCAAGGCAGGAGGATTGCTTGAGGCCAGGAGTTTGAGATTAGCCTGGCCAACACAGTGAGACTCCCTTCTCTATTTCTATTAAAAAATAAATAAAATAAATAAATATCAGAGGGGAAAGTGCATGTTTCCTAAGCAATATTTTAAACAATTTATCCCAAGTGAACTGAAAACTAAGCCTCTCCCTTACTAAGGAGACACACACTTTTTCCTTCATTTGCTAATTGACATGAAAACAAACACGCTACCAAAAAAATAGTGATATCCACCACGTCGTTGGAAGAGTGAACTGAAAAACAGTGAAGGGAGAAGGCCAGACATGAAGGGTGAAGGTTTTCTTCAGCTCATGATTCATCCAACTTCCTTCCCTCTTCCCTGACCCCAGGAGGACGTTGCTGTGGCCGCTGCAGTCTTGGAGTCCCTGCTCAAGCTGGCCCTGCTGGCTGGCCTGACCATCACTGTTTTTGGCTTTGCCTATTCTCAGCTGGCTCTGGATATCTACGGAGGGGCCATGCTTAGCTCAGGATCCGGTACGCACAAGAGTTTTTCTGGATTTTTTCTGATTTCCCAACAGAAATAGAAGGGTCACGAAATTCAAGAACTTGTGCACACACAGTTGATATCTGTGTCGGTGTAGGGAAAACTGTCTGGTGGCGGGGGCTGTGGGACTGTTCCCCTCATTCAACTCCAGACACACACTCAAGGTATAGGCAGGGGCTTTGGCGCCAGGACGATCAGCTTCCCCAGCCTCAGTTGAATAAGTTATTAGGACTTCTCCTTGCTGTTGGCTTTCCTCTCGGGCCTAGAATGTGTTTTGCCAAGCGCTTCCCTGTGCTCCCTCTGGGGTGAGGGAGGAAGGCAGAGGGCAGGCAGTAATGAGTCCCCACTTGGTACTAAACACATCTGAAGATAGTAAATGCCACATAAATCTCCCAGCCTGATGCATAAAAGCCTCTGAAGGATAACCCAAAGCCATTTGCAGAGAATAAAATTGATCTCTGCAAATAAAAGGGTATATTTAATCCAGTGACTCTCAGTTTTTGAAGAAGAAAAGTATTGAATGTGTCTAATTTTGAAACACCAGACTGCTGAGGATCTCACAGCACTTCTTGGGCCTTGGGGACTTCACCAATTTCAAAATGTGCTGGGCTGTAAGCTGGCAGTCCATTTGCAGTGTTTCATCTTGGGTTCAGCAAAGATGTTTTTAATTTCTCAGGTCACTGGACAAGAACCCTGAGGACTTCTTTCTGCTGCCCCATCTCAATATAAAGGGCTTTGTCAAATGCCATTTTACAAGTTCACTAGCATGTTTTAGTCTCCACTACAACGGGGCCCAAACTTTCAGTGTTAGGGGAAGAAGGGCCAAGCTTCTATACCAGAGCAAAGGTCATTAAGTTTGGAGAAACACCTGCTGTGAAACCAGTGAAGTGGTTTGCAGCTCCCTGGGGCTTGTGCTATGAGAAGTACATTTCCATCAGGCAGCTGCGAGAGGCCTCATTAGGAAGGCATTAGTAAGTTTATGGGCAGAGATTGGGAATTCAAGTATTCTATAGAAGCTCTTCCCCTTTAGAAAGCAATCACCAAGGAGCAGCCTTTAATGTCACACAATCACAGGGCATTGCCTCAAGGAGGGGGCTGTCCCATCATTATCATGACTCAGCCCATCATCTTAGTTTTGAAAGTGGAACTCACAACACTACTGTCCTCAGTTGTGTACTTGTCTTTGCCTTCACCCTGGAAGTGGACTACTTACCTGTGAGCTGTACTGGCCATCTCCAGATGTGGGACTCGGACACGCACAGACAGGCTTTTGTGTAGGGGTGTGGCGTCTTTTCCATTGTTTGGGATTAGCACTGTATTTAATTAGGGGCTTTGTAAGTGTTCTGGAGGCTTTTCTTAGAAATCTTTCTTACACCTAGCTTTGCTTTGCTTTTTCTTTTCTTTTTTCTTGGTAACTCACAGAACACCTAGTTTTGCTATCCTTAAGCAAAACCCAAACATTCACAGAATTTCCCCAAGATTTCTCACATTTTTCTCTTAGGTGCTTCTCGCTTGCCCCTCTGCCTTTTACTTTTTCCTTCTCTATCCCCTTGTCTTAATGAACTAGGGCTGCCATGACAAAGTACCACAGACTGCGTGGCTTTAAACAACAGAACATATTGTCCATCAGTTCTGGAGGCCAGAAGTGCACAATGAAGCTACGGCCAGGACCGTGTTATCTCTGAAGTCTCGAGGAGAGGCCCCTTCCTGACTCTTCTAGTTTCTAGTGGTTGCTGGCATCCTGGTGTTCCTTGACTTGCAGCTGCAGCACTGCGGTCACACGCTGTGTTCTCTTTGTCTTCACATCGTCATCCCCCTGCGCTCTTCACGTCCTCATCCCCCTGCGCATGTCTGCCTCAGTGTGCAAGTTTCCCCCACTTTTTTTTTTTTTTTTTAATGAGACGAAATCTCACTCTGTCACCCAGGGTGGAGTGCAGTGGTGCGATCTCGGCTCACTGCAACCTCCCAGGTTCAAGAGACTCCTGCCTTAGCCTCCCGAGTAGCTGAAATTACAGGCACACCCTACCATACCCGGCTAAGTTTGTGTATATTTAGTAGAGATGGGGTTTCGCCATGTTGGCCAGGCTGGTCTCAAACTCCTGACCTCAGGTGATCTGCCCCCCTTTGGCATCCCAAAGTGCTGGGATTATAAGCATGAGCCACTGCACCTGGCCAAGTTTCCTCTTTTTATAAGGACACCTGTCATATTGGATCAGGGCCTGCCCTAATGACCTCATTTGAACTCAGTTTTCTTCATGAAGACCCTGTTTCCAAATAAGGTCAGATTCTCAGGTACCGCTGGTCAGGACATCAACATATCTATTTTGGGGGGACAGTTCAACCTAAAACACCTCTCAATTCAGTCTACAATCGAAGGTTGGTTCCGTTCTTGAATTCCCCAAATGGATGCAAAACCCTTTACGTGAGTCACTGCTTCGCGTCAGAGTTTGTGTTGCTCTCCATGCCTCACAACAGCCCACTGTTCACCTACTGATGGGCCCACCTGTGCCATTAGCGTTCGGTTGCCAGGTAAGGAGGCCTGCCACTCCTCTCTGCTTCTGCCAGGGAGAGGAGGATGGGGAGAAGCAGGAGGCACACTTGAGCATAGCCTTGAGTCTCCTGGGTGCAGAGCGTGGTCCCTGCCTCCCTTCCTGGAGTCACCATCAGCTGGGGTAGGGGCCAGGCTGCTTCCTGCAGCGGCTTGACAAGCAAAATGCAATGTGAGGTAATAAACATGGAATCTGAGACAGGGCCGTGGAAAATGGTTTTTTGTTGGGCATCAGGACTGCCCTGTTACTGCCATAAAACTGTTTAGGTTCCCACAGCATGGAGATCTTTTATATTAAACAGCTTTCATAAACCCTGAATGAGTTCCAGATTCTGAGACTCCGGAACTTCAGTCCCCCCTCCTTTTCTTTTAGTGGTTACTTTTTTTTTTTTTTTTTTCCTTTATTGAGGTATAATTTACATAAAGTAAAATGCTGTTCTCTTAAGAGTACAGTTTGATAAGTTTTGACAAATATGTCCAAAAAGTCCCATGTAACTACCAAACAGATTCAGATATAGAATATCTCCATTTCCCTAGAAAGTTCTTTTGGGACCCTTTCTAGTCAACCACCCCACTCCACCTCAGATCATGGATCAGTATTTATTTAAAAAGAATTTCATATCAATGAAATGCAGCATGCGTGCTCTTGCATTTGGCGTATTTCCTTCAATACAAAGTTTTTGAGATTCTTCCCCCCGTGGTTTCACATAGATCAGTGATTTTTATTATCTTTTCTTGCTAAGTATTCCTTTGTGTGGATGGCCCACGTTTTGTTTATTCTTTCTTCTGTTGATGGTCAGTTTTGGCTATTATGAATCAAACTACTACAGATGTTTTTGTGTAAGTGTTTTTGTGAACATGTGTGTTCATTTCTGTTGGATGTATACCTAGGGGTGCAATTGCTGGGTCATAGGTTAGGTGTATGTTTATTTTATTAGGTGCTTGATTATGGCCCTCTTAAAAGGGGGGAATCAATCCCATTTGTAAGCCTCCTGTTCTCTGGTTAGAAGATTTTTCCAAAGCTTGTTAGCTATAGAACTGCATTACTTTGTTTTAGAAGAAAATACCATTACGGGCACTAGTTCTCACTTTGGATTTGTGTAATTTTCTGCTGCTCCTGGGCCCTGGGCATTTGTTAAAGGTCTTTTGTTTAGGACCTGCTCAACTGAGATTCCCTTAACATACAGGGTCACTAGTGACTTTGAGTTCAAACCACCAGGCCTATTCATGCTGATGGAAAAAGTGAACAGACTTGTTTGCTAGCCAGATAAGCTTTTAGTTGTCTAGCAAGAGATCTGTACATTTATTCATAATTTTTTTTTTTTTTTTTTGAGATAGAGTCTTGTTCTGTCACCCAGGCTGAAGTGCCACTATCATGGCTCACTGCAGCTCTGACCTCCCCAGACTCAAGTGATCCTCCCATCTCAACCTCCCGAGTAGCTGGGACTACAGGCATGCCCACCACACGCAGCTAACTTTTGTATTTTTGGTAGAGACGGGGTTTCATCATGTTGCCCAGGCTAGTGTCGAATCTCTGGGCTCTAGCAGTCTGCCAGCCTTGGCCTCCCAAAGTGCTAGGATTACAGGCATGAGCCACCGTGCCCAGCTTGTCCTTTTGTTTTTTGCGGATTATTTAGTCAATGCCATAGAATGCTGGGAATCCTTCTAGATAATTAAGACCCTGAGCTCGAGCATGCAGTCTGTCCATTGCTGATACCAGCAGACCTCATAGTCTGGTTCTGGTTCTCTGGGTACTCAGCAGCGCTGAGGTTACATGTGGGCCTTCTGATTGGGCTCTGGAGTCTCAGTGAGTTGTTTCCTTGTAGGTCCTGTTTTGCTGCGTTCCTACTGTTTCTATGTTCTCCTGCTTGCCATCAATGGAGTGACAGAATGTTTCACATTTGCTGCTATGAGCAAAGAGGAGGTCGACAGGTGGGTAACCTAGCAGGTACACCTTTAATCATGGCCTTCAGCCAAAATGAAGTAACTTGTCAAGCTTTTTGCTTTTCATTCTGAACATGCATTTACAGATGGTTGTTATAGAGGCAACACTTAGTCCACCAGTGTGGTGCTTCCCTGGGATCTCTGTGGCACCAGCATGGTTCAGCAAGTGGCCCCACCGTAGGGCTGGGAGACAGCAACTACTCTTTGCCTCCCCATTGTGGAGGGAGAAACATTGGCTCTGAAAGGTTACATTAGTCCAGGTTTGCAGAGTCAGGTACCAGACAAGCTAGATTCCCATTCCTCCACCTAGTTGCTCACCCCAGAAGAGTGGTCCTCCAGTAAGTTACTGAGGAGCTTCTTCAAGATGCACATTCCTACCCCTGAGAACCTGAATGGTGGGTCTTCGAGAATCTCAGGGATTCTGTGACGCTTCTGAGAAAAGCCCAAATACACACATACATCTTGCCATAATTTTTTCTCAACTGTTGACTCCAGATCAGGATTCCTGTCCTGGAATCCCTACCACGGTGTTGTTTTTACCGTGACAGCTGGTCTGGGCCAGCAGTTTCCAAAGCCCTAGAATCTGTAACCTTGCCTCTGTAACCTTGAGTGCTGGTGAGGGCCCTCAGAGGCCTGGCCGTGAGGTGGGATGGGGAAGGAGTATCTCAAATGGGGACCCTTCCCCCTCCTCTGTGTGTGTCCTTTCCTGGGCTGGCTCATGTAAAAGCTTGGGGACTTTGTTTGCTACACAGTGACTGAGAACTAGAGTCCAGACCAGCAGGTCTCAGTCCAGATTGATGAGATTCTTCTAGGAATTTCTGGTCCACTCCCAGCCCAGCTGAATTAGAATCTTAGAAGGCTTGAGCCAGGGAATCTGTTTATTACACAGCTCTAGGCAATTCTGATTCTAGGGCTTTGGAAACTGCTGGCCCAGACCAACTGTCACGGTAAAAACAACACGGAGCAATGTGACCCAGGACGCACTTAGGTGTGTGTGACTGAGGCATGAGTTCACAAGGCAGGAAGTACCCCAGTTACGCACAGGACACACTGATGCTTTCTACTCTGTCTTCTATTTTGTTTTTCAAAAATGCCATGCCATAACCCTCTAAATTGATTTCCCAGCCTAGTAGTAGGTCACAACCCATAGTTTTAAAATAGTGGTCTAGATGTGGTTTTCACCTCAGATAGTTAAATTTATAGCTGTAGAGTAGAACTGCTTTGAGTCTATCCTCTTCTTTCCCCATGGATGAAAAAATCTATTTCAATTTAGCTTTGAAAATACAATGTTTTTATTTGAAAGCTGCTTCTAACATTGAATAACTTAAAACTATAATTGGAAACACGCGAAATGAGGCACTATTAGAGTGGAAAGAGCGGGACTAGGAGTGTATCTCCTTGAGGGGAATTTTGTTACGGTAACTTCAGTGTTAGTGTTGAAGGGGTGAATCAAAATCAAACCCATTTAAAATGTTTTTATAAATTGCAACCAAATTGTGAGGGAATATGGACAGTGGCTGGTTGCTTTCTTTTCTCTTATATTGTATTGAACCAAAGGAAACAAGTTTTTAAGTTAGTTGTAATAGAATTTCGATAGTATATAAACATCTGGAAAATTATTTTCATGGTATTAGTCAACATAGAGAAAAAACAGAGCCCAGAGCACCTTCTAGTGCAGTTCCCATGTGGGGTAACTGACCTCCCTAAGAATAAAATGTGACATTAAGTGCAGTTTTGAGACACGTATAAAACACAATAGCTCCAGTTCTTTCTGGGCCCCTGGCTCCAGCACCTGGGCCTGGTCTGAGCACATGGAGCACCTGGGCTCATCACAGACGTCAGCATTTTTTTTTTTAATCCTTGTGAGTTTTAACAGACATAAAACTCTAGCAAGGATTTTTATAGTAGAATTGGATAGCTTAGTTAACTGTTACAATCAGTTACAAAGACTTTACATTGGACATTTCAGATTCTGAATAGAAAAAAAGCAGGCATTTTACTTAACCAACTTAAGGTTAACCAGTGTTTTTCTGAATAAAAATAGAGCATTTGGGCCGGGCACAGTGACTCACGCCTGTAATCCCAGCACTTTGGGAGGCTGGGGTGGGTGGATCACCTGAGATCAGGAGTTTGAGACCAGCCTGGCCAACATGGTGAAACCCCATCTCTACTAAAAATACAAAAATTAGCCGGGTGTAGTGGCGCACACCTGTAATCCCAGCTACTCGGGAGCCTGAAGCACAAGAATCACTTGAACCTGGGAAGCGGAGGTTGCAATGAGTGGAGATCACGCCATTGTACTCCAGCCTAGGCCACAGAGAGATTCTGTCTCAAAAAAAAAAAAATAGAGCATTTGGTTGTATATGAAATATTAAAACATCCTTTGAATTGCAGGTTACTTTTTTTTTTTTTTTGAGACAGAGTCTTGCTGTGTGGCCCAGGCTGGTGTGCAGTGGTGTGATCTCGGCTCACTGCAACCTCCGCCTCCCAGGTTCAAGTGATTCTCCTGACTCAGCCTCCCGAGTAGCTGGGATTACAGTTGCGCAACCATGCGCAGCTAATTTTCTTTTTGTTTTTAGTAGAGACAGGGTTTCACCATGTTGGCCAGCCTGGTCTCGAACTGACCTCAGGTGATCTGCCCGTCTCGGCCTCCCAAAGTGCTGGGATTATAAGCGTGAGCCAACGTGCCTGGCCTGGTTGTTTTTTTAAATAATCTTATAATATATATAGAATCTGACTAATGGATTTTTCATTATACCTTATAGAATAATTTTTGTTGTTTTGTTAAGGCTGTCTAATTTTCTTTCATTAGAAAACAATGCCTCTCTAACAGGCATTGTTTTAAGCTCTAGGAATACAGCAATGAATAAGACAGATGGGATTTCTGCTCTCCTAGAGCTGATGGTGGGGAGGCAGATAGCAAACAAGTAAATTAATAAGAAAATGTGATGTGCTGAGAATGAAAAACGGGTATATAGTGAGTGGTAGGGGCCCTTTAGATCGGGTATGCTGGGCAGGCCCGTATAGCACAGCAGCATTTAGGATGACCGAGAAGGTGGTCTAAGATGGGGGCAGAGCCTTCTAGGCAAAGAGAGATCAGTTGTGTAAAGGCCCAAGATTGACAGCTCTTTTTTTTTTTTTTTTTTTTTTTTTTTTGAGACGGAGTCTGGCTCTGTCGCCCAGGCTGGAGTGCAGTGGCCGGATCTCAGCTCACTGCAAGCTCCGCCTCCCAGGTTCACGCCATTCTCCTGCCTCAGCCTCCCGAGTAGCTGGGACTACAGGCGCCCGCCACCTCACCTGGCTAGTTTTTTGTATTTTTTTTTTTAGTAGAGACGGGGTTTCACCGTGTTAGCCAGGATGGTCTCAATCTCCTGACCTCGTGATCTGCCCGTCTCGGCCTCCCAAAGTGCTGGGATTACAGGCTTGAGCCACCGCGCCCGGCTGATTGACAGCTCTTTTGTCTGATTTGTTGGCCTTTGAGCTTTGAGTGCCAAAGTGGACTCCATAACTGTCAAATGAAGGATGGGTATGATCTTCTCACTTTGGCACATAAGACATCAGTGCCATCCTTTTCATGGCTGTGAAGGCTCCATTATATGGCTGTGCCTTGATGTATTCAACCAGCACCTGCTGGGAGCTGCTTCAGGTGGTGCTAGAGTTGATATCCTCGACCATCCATCCTTTTTTTTTTTACTTTTTTTGAGACAGGGTCTCACTCTGTCACCCAGGCTGAAGTGCAGTGGTACAATCATAGCTTACTACAGCCTGACCTCTTAGGCTTAATCGATCCTTCCACCTCAGCCTCCTGAGTAGCTGAGACTACAGGTGTGTACTACCATGCCCAGCTAATTTTTGTATTTTTTGTAGAGATGGAGTCTCTGGGCGCCATGTTGCCCAGGCTGATCTCCAACTCCTGGGCTCAAGCAATCTGCCTGCCTTAGCCTCCCAAATGCTGGGATTACAGGCATGAGCCACTGTGCCCAGCCAGTCCATCTTTTAATAAGCTTGATTTTAAGTCCAGTATTTTCTTGGGACCATGGAGAAATAAGCATTCATAAATAATTTACTGTTTATGTTAACCAAACCTTACAGGACAGTCATATTGTCACTGATTAATAATTTTGCTTTGATTTTAAAAATTGATTTTTTTTTTTTTTAAGATGGAGTCTTGCTCTGTCTCCAGGCTGGAGTACAGTGGCGTGATCTCGGCTCACTGCAACCCCCGCATCACGGGTTCAAGCGATTCTCCTGCCTCTGCCTCCTGAGTAGCTGGGACTACAGGTGCGCACCACCACGCCCAGCTAATTTTTGTATTTTTCGTAGAGACAGGGTTTCACCATGTTGGCCAGGCTGGTCTCGATCTCTTGACCTCGCGATCTACCCGCCTCGGCCTCCCAAAGTGCTGGGATTACAGGCATGAGCCACCGCGTCCAGCCAAAAAAGTATATTTTAATGCGTTTTTTAAGCTTTTCTCATTTTTTTCTGAAGTGGATTATGCCTTTAAGGCTATAGATTTGTGAATTCTGGAAAGTTCAGCAGCTGCAGAGCCCTCTTGTAGTGGCAGACAATGGACCCCATCATCAGCTCCTCTCAGATGGCCATGCCAAAGAGGCTGTGCTGTTGAATGCGTCTCTGCTTGAATTAGCGTGAATTAACTATTGGTTTTATTCATTATTGTTATTTTACTGGGAGTTGGGGAAGGACAGCTAAAAGTTTGTGAATCTATGACTTAAACTCCAAGGATTGATATAGTAGACTGTTCTGAGATAGTTTCTGAAAAACGGGTTACATATCTCTGCTGCTTTGTGGAAAAGAGGTCAAAGTACTGGTCTATGATGGGTCCCATTTGAGTGGCTTGTTCTGAAGTTGACCTTTCTGATTACTAATTAGTAGTGAAAAAACTTCCCCTGTGAGGTACAGGCTCTTGTACTTCATTAAAAGAGACTCTCTCTGGACTGAAAAGCAAATAAACTCCCTCTCTGGAACTCCGGATGAAAGCACATCTCTCCTGTTGGAGTATGGTTGTGTGTGTGTGTGTGTGTGTGTGTGTGTGTAGTATTTTTACCACCCACTTTGATAAAGCGTATCTCCACAGCACGCAGCACCTTGGCCTGAATCAGCCAAGGACCTATACCTGGGCATTCGGGGGATGCAGTGGCTTGCCTTCCGTTTTCTTTTTGGTAGAGACATGGTCTCACTATGTTGTCCAGGCTGATCTCAAACTCTTGGCCTCAAGCAATTCTCCTGCCTCAACCTCCCCATGTGCTGGGATTACAAGCATAGTTCTAGGGTACTGGCCAAGTTCTAGGGCCTCCTTCCACACCTGCAGAATCAGGAACTCTGGTGGTGAAGGCCAGCCATATGCATTTTTAAGTCATCATTATATTTTGAGACAGGGTGTTGCTCTGTTGCCCAGGCTGGAGTGCAGTGGCATGATCATAGCTCACCATAGCCTTGAACTCCTGGGCTCAAGCCTTCCTCCTCTCTCAGCCTCCCAAGTAGCTGGGACAACAGGTGTGTATCACGGCTAGTTTTTAAAATTTTTTGTAGAGACAGGGTCTCATGATGTTGCCCAGGCTGATCTGAAACTCTTAGGCTCAAGCGATCCTCCCACTTCAGCCTCCCGAGTAGCTAGGATTGCAGGTGTGTGCCACCATCCCTGGGTAATTTTTACTGGTTTTTGTAGAGATGGGTCTACTAGCTATGTTGTCCAGGCTGATCTCGAACTCCTGGCCTCAAGCAATCCTCCCACCACCTCAGCCTCCCAAAGCACTGGGATTACGCTTTCTTTTTTTCTTTCTTTCTTTTTTTTTTTTTTTTTTTGAGACGGAGTCTTGCTCTGTTGCCCAGGCTGGAGTGCAGTGGCGCGATCTCGGCTCACTGCAAGCTCTGCCTCCTGGGTTCACGCCATTCTCCTGCCTCAGCCTCCTGAGGAGCTGGGACTACAGGCACCCACCACCACACCCAGCTAATTTTTTGTGTTTTTAGTAGAGACAGGGTTTCACCATGTTAGCCAGGATGGTCTCGATCTCCTGACCTCGTGATCCACCTGCCTCGACCTCCCCAAGTGCTGGGATTACAGGCGTGAGCCACCGCGCCCAGCCGGATTACGCTTTCTTACCACCCCTCATGTGCAGAACCTGGGTGGTGGCCTCTGAGGTTTTCTAGCCCAGCAGACATGGCTTGAGGATGTCAAAAGTTTGGTTCCCTCAACGGCTATATACTTAGAGTGCCTGCTTGGTGCTAGGCAGAAACCAGAGGCTGGGGGATTTTGTTCTTGGCTGTACAAGCCTTTTGGAGGACTATGGCAGCTATTTTGTGTTTGCTGAGAATCTGTTTTCTTTTTGGAGAACTGAAGATAACTAAGTGATGTGCCGCTTTGAAATCAGAGAAGTGCAAGAAGCGCCAGGATCAAAGCGCTCTAGAGATACAGGGAGTAGGAGTGAAGATATGCAAGAGTCTGAAAAACAGCAAAGGTGATCCAGGCTTTGGTTCAGTTCCCATTTCATTTTGGAGGTCAGTCATTTGCTTTGAATGGTGTCTACTGCTCAAGGTTACTGGGAGCTGCATCTCCCAAGGGCAGTGGTGTGAGGTACTGAAGCTTAGAAGTCAGAAGTCCGGCTGAGTGTTACCTCACTCGTGAGGCAGATTACTCAGCCTCTCTGTGCTGCTTCCCTTGTCTGTGAAATAAATCCAAGCTCTGCAGGGCAAGGCCCGTGTGTGTTCATTCACCATTGCGTCCCCAGCACTCCTCACAGGGCCTGTCACAGAGTTAGCATCCAATATCTAATTATTACCCTGGTCACATTCTTGTATCTCATGTTGAGGACTTGAGCTGAACAGGGTTTTTATGTTTTGATCACAAAGTGTCACTTAACTAACCAATTATTATCTTCAAAAAACATACATCTCTTGAGTTGTTTCTTACCCTTTTGTTCAGGGTAAGGGGACAGGGACATTCCCGTGGTCTCCATGTGGCATTCAATGTTATGAAAACCTGGATTCTGGGAACACAGGTTCTTTCTGTGAGGTGATGTTCATGGCCGCTGTTTTGGGAGCAGCCTTGTCCGGGGCGAGGTCCCCACTGCCCTGCTTTGCCTGTCTCCTCCCCAGGTACAATTTTGTGATGCTGGCCCTGTCCTCCTCATTCCTGGTGTTATCCTATCTCTTGACCCGTTGGTGTGGCAGCGTGGGCTTCATCTTGGCCAACTGCTTTAACATGGGCATTCGGATCACACAGAGCCTTTGCTTCATCCACCGCTACTACCGAAGGAGCCCCCACAGACCCCTGGCTGGCCTGCACCTGTCACCGGTCCTGCTCGGGACATTTGCCCTCGGCGGTGGGGTTACTGCTGTTTCAGAGGTGAGACTCCCTGAGCCATCATGCCACATGCTCCTGCAGCTGCCCCGCTGTCCCTCCCTCTAGGCCTCCCCTTCCTGCCCTGCCTGAACCAACTGGACAAGGATTTGCCTCCTCCTGTCCCCTCCCCAGGCCTCTAGGGCAGCATTTTCTGATAGATGTGACAAGAGAATGTTGCCATTAGGGAGAGAATGGACCCACAGTATGGCTGTTATACCTTTTATCTGACTTAGAAACTGGAACCACAGTGGCCTTCCCTGGCTGGTCCCGGAGGAAGGAGGTATAGACTAAGGAACAGACACTGACAATTGTTTCTTTCCCAGGTGTTCCTCTGCTGTGAGCAGGGCTGGCCAGCCAGACTGGCACACATTGCTGTGGGGGCCTTCTGTCTGGGAGCAACTCTCGGGACAGCATTCCTCACGGAGACCAAGCTGATCCATTTCCTCAGGACTCAGTTAGGTGTGCCCAGACGCACTGACAAAATGACGTGACTTCAGGGAAGCCTGGACACCTGAGGCACCTGGACCAGCTATGGGCGGTTCTGTGGGTGGAACACATATTCTGTGTAAGAGCCCCCCGAGGGCTCTGCAGCGGAGTGACAGCAAGCCCGGAGGTGAGGCACCAGAGAGAGCATGAGACACCTGTGACCATTCGAAGTCTGAAATGCGGAGGAGGAGTTTCATTTTTAAGTGAAGACCAAAAAGCCCTTTAAAAATAATAGAGTTTTTTCATCATTTTATTTTCTCTTTTACTAATGTACTCATTCCTTTTGAGTGTGATTGGCCTTTGGAGCTACATGCTCCAACAAACTATGTCTTAATTGTTAACAATTATCTGGCCCAGAAAAAGAGATGCAACGATTTTACCCTTCAGAGGAATTTTGAACGTCTTCTGTAAAAGACAGAGCAAGACCTCTCTCTTTCATTCACCACATGAAAACAGAGCGTGGCCCTGAAGTTGTGGCTTTCTCTGTGTCAACACTGTGGTCTGAGTTTTTAGAGAAGGAAAAATGCTACTCAGTGAGAAATCCAAGAAATGAAACCAGAAAGGTTTTCAGATCACATTTCCCAGAGTGAGTCAGGGAGAATCTTGCCTGTCATGATCACACTGTTCCCCGCCGCCCCGGGTCAGCACATACTTGACCCAGAGTGGGCTCTCAAAATTTGTTAACTGAAGGGTGGGTGAAAGCTGGCTGGAGACTCCTGGCCTGGCCACCTGCAAGAGGCGGACTTTGAAGAAAACTGTGATCCAGTTGAACCATTTTGTCTCTGAAGGGAATACTGCTTTGCAGCTTTCTGTAACTTCTCACATGGGAATTGCACTGGTGACAGATAAGATTTAACAGATGTATTTTTTTATCTTCAGAATAAGACAGGGCAAACTCTATATGGCAAGTATTACTGAGTCAGGCCCCTCCTGCTGACCCATTATTTCCAGCACTGATCAATATAACCAAATTCCAGCCCCAGGACAAGAGTGGCAGGCATGGGGGCCTGATGCTGCAGGCTACAGTGTGAGCCCAGGCATTCTGAACCTTGCAACCTGCACCCTGCAGGTGAGACCATCAGCAGTGTTCTGGAGTGTAAAGTGTTTTTTCTTTTTTCATTAATGTATTAATTCCTTTTGGATATTAACTCCCCTCAGACCTACATGCACAAACTATAACTTGGATGTTAATAATCCTCTCACTCAGTGCCCCAAACCTCCTGTGTGTACCCCCAGAGAGAGGGCCAGTAAGGGCAACTGCTATCATGCATTAAAATGCATGTATTTAAATCTGCTTGCCCAGAGCCAGTACCCAGGGTCTAAGGATCAAGACCTGTCAGTACACCAAGACTGGGGCCCAGTCACCCTGGCAGGTTTTTATCTACTCAGAGGGAGAACGCTTTGCACTAAGCGGGAGAAAAGCAGCTAAATGCAAGGTGTCCTGAGCAATTAGAGGACCTCCAAAGCATGGCCTCAGTCATGCCTTCATAGGGCAAGGTCAGGCCAGCTCAGAAAAATGGATGGTCCCATGGGGTCAGGTGGAGCACACACAGAAGGCAGTCCTCCTTTGCTCCCATGTCCGTTCTCTGTCCTGGCATCCACAGAAAGGGGCCTTCAGTCCTCATGAGCTGCTTCTCTGCAGCTGCTGATCACCCTCCCAGAACCCTGCCCCTATCCCATGCCCACATGACCCCAGACTCAAGCATGATCCTCATTCTACCTGTCTTGGAATCACCTGGATTGCAAGTCAGAACGTGGCTTCCCCGGACCCGCTCCAGGCCTTCAGGGTCTCTGTCTCCCAGTAGGAGGGCTCTGAGATTGGCTTTTCTGGCAAGCCCACATGGCTTTGATGCCACCAAGGTTGGCATGCCCCATTGTCTTCCTTCACAACAGGCCCAGGGCCAGTCATGCTCATGCCTGTTCTCTGCTCCAGGAACAGAGCTGCTGTTCCACCAGCAGCCTTGTGACTCCGTGGCCTCTGGGAGCAGGACTCCCCAGGCTTATACTCTCTCAGCTTGAGAGAGGGTCTATGTCTGAAGGCAGTCCTCACTGTCATCCCTCCCCTGCTGTTGGCCTAATGATGCTGTCAGGGCCAGCTCCTCTTGAAAGACAGCCAGCTGCGAAGGCAGCCCAGGGCTTCTTCCCATGTCCTGCTTCTCTGTGTCTAGGGAGAGTCGTGCCTGTGGCTGCGAGTTTTCCCAGGACTAGCACCTGCCGCCGGGGCTGTCAGCACTTTGGCAGCAGGTCCTCTGCTGTTCTCTGCCTCTGGCACCTCCCTAAAGCTCAGCTGAACCTGACCAGGCCTCTGGCATTTCCCCTGCTGGACCCCCTAGAGTCACACCTGTTGCCTCAGGGAGCTTGCATACATGTGGGCCAGCCTGCCTGACTTTACCCAAGCAGATTTGGGGAGAGAAATCATACTTTGGCTTTAAATACCACTTAAAATATCGTGAGGCTACTCCTCCATGGAAACAAGTCTCTGAGGCACAACCTTTATGAAAGGAAGGAGTCTTCGTTAGTGAGAAGAACAGTATCTCTGACTTCCTGTGCTCCTCTGGCCACCTGTAAGTGTGGGTCACTTCAGATTTGGCTTGGGGTCTCTCAGTGGGGAGCTGCTGCTGCGCTGTTTAATGCTTACCTGACGGCAACTTCTGGCTCTGGAGCCGCTCCTCTGCCCTGCTCCCAGCCGCTTCCCAACCTGATTCAAGCGGGGCCCCTCCTTCCTCCCGTCTTTATTCTTTTCTTTTCAGAGGCAAGGTCTCACTCTCTCCTCTCACCCAGGCTGGAGTGCAGTGGTGTCATCATAACTAATTGCAGCCTCAAACTCCTGTGCTCAAGCAATCCTTCCACCTCAGCGTCCTGAGTAGCTGGGATCACACGTGTGTGCTACCTCACCCAGCTAATTTCTAATTTTTTTTTGTAGAGACTGGATCTCACTGTTGCCTTGAACTCCTGGGCTCAAGTGATCCTCCTGCCTCAGCTTCCCAAAGTGCTGGGATTCCAGACCAGCCACATTTTTTTTTAAATCATGCATTCCTGTTGCTAGTTTCACATCAGTCCCCTGGTTTAAAAAGAAATAAAATATTTTCTTTACACTTTTGTCAAGACCTTTCTTCTTTCATACCCCTTCTCCCTCCAAAAGGGACAAAAATTCTTTAATTTCATAAGGAGGGTGGGTAAGTAACTTGAGGATGTGAACCTTTGATGTTTCTCAACTGGAACGTTTCTACCTCCATTGATGTTGTAGCTGGGACTGGGGTTCTTGACTTTGAAAGAGGGGTGGTGTCCTGGCCTGTGCCACAGAGCCTCCTCTGTCTGGGACAGAAAGGCCTGGCGTCTCCTTTATCTTCTCCCCGTCCCATCTTAAGCTGTATTTCCCGTTGTTTGCAGGACTTCTCTCCTGTCTTCTCCGTCTGGCCTGGTCCTTGTTTTGTTTTTTTTTAATTAAATGGCCATTCCTTGAGAAGTCAGGACTAGTTTCAGCGCAGAGCAGGGCAAGTGTGTGATTTCAGGGGGTCTAGGACAGCCCCTTCACTCTAATATCTTCCTCCATCAGGTGATAGAATTTCCTTTCACCTGGTCACAGGCTGCTATTCCAGAATTAGGGAGGATACTGGAAATTCAGATTCCACAGAGAACTCAGTGACTCATTCACACTAAGATGTAAAATAACCCCATCAAGATTTATTTCCTTTTTGTTCTCTGGTGGGAGGAAAAACGAAAAAAAAATTATTTGCCAGGCCAGGCGCTGTGGCTTAACACTTTGGGAGGCCGAAGCAGGATGATCACTTGAGCCCAAGATTTTGAGACCAACCCGGGCAACACAGGGAGACCCCATCTCTACAAAAAAAAATTTAAAACTAGCGGGGCATGGTGGCATGCACCTGTAGTCCCTACATGGGAGGCTGAGGTGCAAAGGATTGCTTGAGCCCAGGATTTCGAGGCTGCAGCGAGCATGTTCGCACCACTGCACTCCAACCTGGGCGACAGAGCAAGAAACTGCAACTGAAAAAAAAAAAAAAAGGAATTATTTCCTAAGCAGCTTTTGATGTTGAGGAAGAAACAAGCAGGAGCTGAGAGCATCCAGAACCTGGAGGAGGAGGGACTCAGGTGAGAGGCTGGGCAGGCCCAGAAGTGGGGAGCTGTGAGTGCTGCTATGTGGCCTCTGGGATGGATGGAGTTCATTCCCAGTGGGAAATCAGGAGCAGCATGATCCCTGGCCTAGTCTTAGAAGAGCCATGGCTGAAAATGGGGTGGGGACTAAAGAAGAGAAAGAATCTGAACAGGGGACACCCTTCATATATTTTATTTATTTATTTATTTGTTTGTTTGTTTGTTTATTAAGACAGTCCCGCTCTGTTGCCTGGGCTGGAGTGCAGTGGCGCGATCTTAGCTCGCGGCAACCTCTGCCTCCCAGGTTCAAGCAATTCTCGTGCCTCAGCGTCCCAGTAGCTGGGACTGCAGGCATGCACCACCACACCCGGCTAATTTTTGTATTTTTAGTAGAGACAGGGTTTCACCATGTTGGCCAGGCTGGTCTGGAACTCAAGTGACCTCAAGTGATCTGCCCACCTCTGCCTCCTGAAGTGCTGGGATTAGAGGCATGAGCCACCTTGCCTGGCCTCCTTCACATATTTATACACTCCTGCTCTTTGTGGGGGCCAGGCACCGATGGCAAGTGAGACAGGCGTGCAGGGGGCTTGCTAGTGAGGAGAGCTCCCACCAGCAGCTCGATCCTGAGCACCTTTGGGAGCTGACCCACGGACTCATGAAGCTGCTTGCACAAGGTTCTCAGTGGCCCTAAGGAAGAGTTCTAGAAGGCACACTGGAAGCCAGGAGGCCTGTGGAGCCTGTCAGAAAGGACCAGATTTGGAAAGAAGATGAGCTAAGGCCCAAGTATTAGGGGTCCCCTAGAAATTTATCAAGGACAATGAAACACAGAAAACTAGAAAAAGCAGCTGAAGGCTGGGCGTGGTGGCTCGCGCCTGTAATCCCAGCACTTTGGGAGGTTGAGGCAGGTGGGTCATCTGAGGTCAGGAATTTGAGACCAGTCTGGCTAACATGGTGAAACCCCGTCACTAGTAAAAATGCAAAAATTAGCCGGGCATGGTGGCAGGTGCCTGTAATTCCAGCTACTCAGGAGGCTGAGGCAGGAGAGTCACTTGAACCCGGGAGGCAGAGGTTGCGGTGAGCCGAGATTGTGCCACTGCACTCCAGCCTGGGTGACAGAGCGAGACTCCGTCTCCAAAAAAATAAGTAAAAAAGAAAAAAGAAAAAAGCAACTGAACAAGATCACTATTCTAAAATTTATTTACTGAATATTCCATGAGTGTCCAGGAAGTAACTGAGACTTGTGTATTTAATTTGGAAATGAGACTTCTGAGACAATCAGATGCAGAGGAAAAATTATTTGCTTCACTATTATTTACTTACCTAAGAGGATTGGTCCTTAATGTTGTAAATATTTCATTCGCTAACTAACTTCCAAGGTAGCAGAAAAGGTGTTTTACTTGAAGAATTTGAGGAGAGGGAAGACTCACTGATTTGCATTATCAGTCAGTCCCCAGTTACCTTGGCATAATCAGTCCCATTATTTAGTGTTACTCATTTTTAACCAGAACTGTCTGGGTATATCAGAGCACAATTGGGAAGGTGGGCTCTCAATGTAGTCCAGCCTCCTTTGGGGGCCGAATGAAGGGAGACTTAGAAATACTTCTTAATTATCCTTCAGATGAATTAGCAGTAGTTGCTGTTAGCCCCTGTTCCAGTGCAGTCGACTCTTCGCCAGTTGACTTCTCCACTCTTCTTGGGAAGTGCGGCTTGAAAGGCAAGTGCTGGAGGTGAGATATAGAGAATTAGGTCTTTCCTTGCATGTCATAGATCCTCAGCAAAGTAAGTGTGCCCGGCACTCTGTCCCTACCTCTGCAGGCTCCACACACGTTTGGAGACCCCACCCCCAGCTTGTGGAACCTATTGCAGTGCATCATGTCCCACGTTGAACACAATCGTGTATAAGGATAAGGACACAAGAGTGGTGGCTACCTAACTGATATGGTGGTATGTTCTGTAGCAATTGAAAAAGCAATTTTGAAACATTCTATTTTGGAGCCAGTAAATGTTGTCTTCATCTCATTTCTGAGGGGCCTGAAGAGTTAAAGGGCCCTGGGCGCTCCACCTGTGAGGCCGAGTGAACACTGGGCCTCAGGCGCTTAGGAAGGAGGGAAGGGGATGCCAGGAGCAGGGAGGTAGTGCCTGGAGGCTGCCTCACTGTGAGGCTGGCAGAGGCCAGGCTCTGGGGCAGCTCCCAGCCCTCTCTGCTGCCCCTGGCTTCACCCTGGGGTGATTCTCATTTTTCCTGGGGCCCAGAGAGCAGGCCAGCCCTCAGGCTGGTGGGCAGTGAGAGGAGGAGGACCCAGACATGGCTCCTGCTCTCAGAGTAGAGGCCTAGCACTTCCACTGAGAGGCAGTCTCTCACCTTTTACTTCCAGCCCCTAGCCTCCTCCCTCCTCTTTGTTTCTGAGTTCAAAGCCCCTGCAGGAGAAATGGAATTGGCTCAGGTTATCTTTATAAGACAGCTACTATAGATCACAGGTCATACATGAGCCAGTAGACGGGCCACCCTGGCCTGAGGAGCATTTGCTAGGTGTAGGCCAGCCAGAGTGGCATGGTTCATCCCTCATTGCCCCTTCCCAGGGGAGCTGCATGAGGACCCGTGACATAACAGCTGACTTGTGAAGGAATCTTCTAGACCATTTCCCTGTCATATTTCCTCTCTCCCTCCAATAAATGTGTCCCAATGTTATGACCCTGTTGACTCTACTGTCACAGTGTTGACAAAGGGATTTGGCAGAGGCCACCTGGGTTCACAGTGCTCAGTGGGAAAGAGACCTGAAAACTGGCAACTCCTGATCCTTCCTTCCCAGCGGCCTCTCACCTTTAATCTCCTCTGCAGCGCCCCATCACAGGTTGGGGCCTTGGAACAGGCTCGGAAGCTGTCATCGCAGCAGTGAGCAGTGACTAATTAAGACACGGCTGCATTAGTCACATTGGAGGTGACAACTGAGCAGCATGTTTCTGGTTAGTGTCTGGGAGATCCTGACACACTTTCCCATTATATGGAACTAATAGTGTGCGGCTTCCACGCGGCCATGTGGGGTGGGAGAGCCTGAAATGAAAGCATGACTCTGTGGACAGCGCCGGTTTTGTTCCCGGCTCATCTACTCCTCACTTCTTTGCCCTTTCAGTTGAAAATCATGAAAGATGACACCAGGGGAATAGCATAAGGGGTGCCAGAGGACCTCTTTCAGAAGGCTTTTGTTGTCCACCACTGTTCCCAGGAGAATTCTGAGAATATTCAGAGGGGAACTGGTGATGTAGGAGCCAGTCCTTTCCCCAGATGCAGACGAAAACCCCAGCCTCGCCAGCCTCGGAGCACACTCTTGTCTTCCCTCACCAGAGTCTGGCAGGGCCATGCAGGGAGAACCACAAAGATCCAGAGAATCAGGACATTGCAGCCAGAAGAAAAACAGGGCTCTTCTCTACACAGAATCCCAACCAAACATGCTGCTAAAATAGCTGTCCTTTTTGTTTCCCCTAGGACATTAACACGAGAATTTTATGAACAAACTGGGATAGCATAGTGCATTTAATGTTCCTGAACCAGAGCTGAAGGTTTCTGTCTTCCCTGCATGCTTCTGACATCCCCAAGTGGTGTCTCTCTAATGCCAACAGAATGTTCTTGCAGGTGTGCAGATGTTGGGCTGTGGGGGGCCACAGAAGGGACAGAGTGACTTGCATTTGTTTCTTTTGTAACCATGATGGAAACCATGTGGAGCTCTGGCTGTACGATGGGGAGGGTGGGCAGGATGCCCAAGCACAGTGGTGACTTGTCTTTGCCTGCTCTCAGCTCTGCCTGCTGCAAATCTGCAAGCACAGGGCCAAGTGCCAGGCTCTGGGTGGAAGGACCCCAGGGGTGCCCTGTCTTCAGCACTTCTTCCATCTGCACCATCACTGGAGAAATCCACCTGCAGCCATGTCTTTTTATTTATTTACATTTTTTTTTTTTTTAGATAGTGTCTTGCTGTGTTGCCCAGGC